AGACCGAGGGGTTTACACAACAGAAATTTCTTTTACATACTTCCAGAGGCTGGAGAGCTCAAATAAAGACGATGCTAGATCTGGTATCTGGTAGGGACTTGTTCTTTGATTTGCGGAGCTGTCTTATACTATCTTCTTACAAAGAGAGAGAGGAGAGAGAGAGAGGAAAGAGAAAGCAGAGAAGTAGGGGAGGGAGGGGAGAAAAGGAGGCAAGAGCAGAGAGGGAAGAGAGAGGAAAAAGGGAGAGAGTGAGAATGAGAGGAGAAAGAGGGGAGAAGCTGTGTCTTTGTATGGGACCAGTCTCATTCATGAGGAATCTACTCTGATGACCTAATTACCCCTCAAAGGCCCCGTTTCTAAATACCATCTCATTGAGAGTTAGAATTTTGACATATAAATTTGGGGGTAACAAACATTCAGTGCAGAAAGGGTAGTTAGCTCCTGTTTGAAGGAAGAATCTGTGCAGTGATCTGTCATGTGTGAATGGAGACAGGGACCGGGAAAGGAAATGCGCAGAGATGAGCAAGCTTCCAGGGATCAGGGCAGCAGACAGCTGGCAGGTGCAGCAGGAACGAGCTAGAAGGACACGGCACTGGGACAGGGATGCTGTGAAGGCAGCAGTTGCCTTGCCATGAGGGAGTCTGCAGGATTATGCAAGGACTCTGCAGCCAGGACACAGGCTGGCGAGACGAGCATTGAATTCCTAACATACGGGCAAGCTGGGTAAATTTGGTTTGGAAACTAGGAGTTGTCAGATTGAATGACTTGGTATCTGTGCGTTTGTGGACCTGGGGAAGGCAGGGACTGATGAGTTCCAAACCCTTTGGGCTGATGGAGATCCCACCACAATCCATTTCATTCTGTGACCCAAATAACTGTTGTATGCCATGTGTCTATGAAAATAATTAAAGTCAATTAAAATTAATTTTGGTTGGTGAGTGAGAAGTTTCCTAATAACTCTTGAGATAATTAAAGAGGCTTTGGGATACCTCAAAAGGAGTATTTGGAGGGATCAAGAGAGATATTAAACTGGAGATGAGTAATGGGGGTGGTAACAGAACAAGCATGCTGTGCCTGAAGCGCTAAGTTGGAGACTAAGTATTTGGGGCTGCAGTGAGCAGGCTAGTTAACGGAGTTTCTAGAAAAAGCCAACCAACCAACCAACAACTACTGTGCTTTGCAGCGTTTTCCCTTTCTGTGGAGCAAAGTCCCTTGCTGTGGTGGACTTCAGGTCCTCCATGGCTTGCCCACTGGCACACGTGTCCTGAACAGTTACTACCAGAACTTATAAGTCCGTGCGAGGCACTGGCGAGCTTCCTCCTGGAGCCTGCAGATTGCCTTGTGACCATTTCAAGTCTCCGTCTTTTAGTTTTATGATTAAAACAGCATAGCTGCACACGTAGCCTCTAGGGTCCTTTTCCAGGTTAGCGTTCTAGGAGTGAAGCTGGGGCAAAGGGCAATAGTGATGTCATGTGGCAATCCAAGGGTGATCGCCTGTCATGGTTTCAGAGCAGAGCTGGGAAGTTGGTATCGAGTCTGTCTTTGTTTGGATTCCTGTTGCCCAGGTGCGTGGTGGTGTGGCCAGTGTAACTGCGTGGCACATCAGAGACCCGGGGAAGCTGTCACCAACAGTCAGAGAATCTTACAGCACCCAGTCCCAGCACTCAGTCAGGAGAAAATCTTGCAGCCTTAGGAACAGGACCCGTCTCAGCACGACACCCCAAAGCGCTGGCTTTCTCGGGGCTGTTAAGTCCAGGAGAGCCACCTTTTCCCTAAGCCCTTTGAAAAGGCAAGGACTGAGCCGCTCATGTTGACGTGTGGCAGATCCTGGCACAGGATGGGAACCTGGTGTTGAGAAAACCGAAAACCAAGTGGATCTTCATGGAACAAATGCTGAATTATAAAATCTTAATTCTAAGGGAGACATGAGTGCCCTGTTTTCATGCTTACCTTCACAATGACCCCAAACTTTTTTTTTTTTTCCTTTTTTTCCAACGCCGTCTTGTTGTAACAGAAAACATTTCGATGCCTTCAACTCAGTGTTGAACTTTTAAATGTGTTTTCCAGCTGGAGAACAGAACTGGCCATCCCATCAGGGCCCGATGGAGAGAAAAGTGATCAATCAAACAAATAAAAACAAATCCGTAAGAGCCAGGCCAGGTACGCCCTCCCACCGGGGAGTCCCGCCTTGCTGCCGGCGGGCACATCAGTGCCAGTCCGGCTAGGCAAGATCATTTATTTATAGCGTACTCTCATTTGCAGCTCAGCCCCACAATGACCCCGCTGAGCCAGGCATTGGCATTCCCATTATAGAGGAAAAGAAACTGAGCCAGCCAGCAGCAGAGCCCACACTCTGGATGGGGTGCGCTTCTGGCCAGGCCGGGCTGCTGCCTCAGGGGCGCGTCCTCTCTCTCTGGTGTCCCCTCTTCCGCGTTGGCAGGAGGGCTGCCTTCTCATGTGAGCGCACCTGGCTCAGCCCTCGCCTGGGCAAACAGAAGCACCAGCTTCCAGAAGGGTTCTGAGCAAATAGGCCAAGTCGGAGCTGTCCCAGCCGGAGGGCGCAGACCTGTACTTTGCCCCAGTGAATCAGCTCCACGGAGGCCGGGCGGGTGCAAAGTAAAGCACCTGGCTGTAGACGCGAGACCAGGGGAGCGCTGGTAGATGTGGCACCTGGACTTTGACAGTGTCCCGGGGGCCAGGAGGCAGTGCTGGGCCGGCTCCCCGCAGCAGCAGCAGCAGCGGCGGCGGCGCGAAGGAAGGTGGAAGGCGGCGGAGCAGGTGTGTGGGGACAGGAGCGCCCGCCCGTTTCTTCGCTTTTCCGTGCTGTGACATATGGAGCGGCAGCAGGGCCCCTCCCCGGGCTAGGGCAGGTCCTTCCTGCGAACTGGGGAGTGGGCTATGCTGCAGGGGAGTGATTCCTTCCAGGGAGAATCTTCAGGGCTCTCCTTAATCGTAACCCGAGCTCCGATGGCTGGCCTGGAGTGGCCATCTCTTGGCAGGAGGACACGGTGACTTCAGGGAAGCGCTTGGGGGCTGTGTGTTTGCGTTGGGGGAAGAAAGGATGTGGCGGCCACATGGCAGCGGGTCTGTTCTTGTTCGGTGTTGGTTCACAGACCGTCCACTGTGCCCCTGGCACTCGGCTTTCCTGGGATTCACTGGCAACAGTTCTCCTTGCACCTGGCTTCTTCGAGGAAGTCGGTAGACACGTGGAGGAAGACACACAGGACTTTCTCAAGCTGTGACCAACTTTCAGGGGAAGGGCCTGTGTGGCCCGACCTGTGGGCCCATTCTGCTGTCTCATGGCTCCTGGCTCACAGCTGTGGAGGCCGCCCCTGGACGTCTGATTGGCACCACATCCCAGTTTGCACACACACACCCCTTTGGCCTTTTGTCTCATCGGCACACTCAGGTGAAGCGGAGAGCTTCAGGGCTGGGGCTAGTTAACGGATCGAGCCAGGACTGGCAGAAAGGCGGAGGCTGGCGTGGCCAGTAGGCAGGGTCCCCAGACTCACCCCTCATGAGGGGCAGTCAGGCCCCTGTGCTCTGTCCCAGGTGTGTCCACTGCGTGGTGGCAGTTAGCTTGATGCAAGCGAGATGGATGGATTATAAAATGTCCAGCTGCGAAGAAGCTGGGGGATACAGCTCCTGTTTCTTCCTTTTAGAGCCTCAAACACGCTTCTTCTAACCTCCCTGGGAGGAGGGGCGGGCAAGGCTGCAGCATAAAGGCTAGTTCTTCTAGGAGGTTCATGTGAGGATTTACAGACAGCCTGTATGTGTGTGAGTGAGTGAGTGTGTGTGTGTGTATGTGTGTGTGTGTGTGCACGCCAAGGCACAGCCAGGAGCCAGGAGCTCTGTTCTCTCCCATGTGGAGCACTTGAACAACTTCTGCCACCTTGCCGGGTGTGTTAACCAGCTGGATTGTAGGCAGCGTAACCAGGGCTTGGACAGGGATCTGCAGGCGTTGTAACAGGGGCTTAACCTACAAGGCTGGTACCAAAAGGATGCCTCTTCAAGGATTGAGTTAAGCTTGGCTTTTTCTGGGAAAAGTCTTCAGCCACTGAAATTACTCTACTCTTTATTGAAGAATTAGTACGCACCAGGCCCTGGCTCTGATAGGGACGTTGCCAGGGAGTTATTATGGTCTTCATATTATAGAACAATCAGGTCTGAAAAATTTCTTTAGTAAATGGCAAATTGAGGATTAAAACTCCAATCTAGCTCCCTCCAAAGCCCTCTCTATTCCTTTTTTTCCTTTAATTACTAATCTCTCCCCGCCTCTCCCCCTCTCCCCCTCTCTCCCTCTCTCTCCCTCTCTCGCTCTCTCCCCCTCCCTTCCTCCCTCCTTCTCTCTCTTTCACAGATGTTCCAGCCCTGTCTGCAATGGCCAGTCCAAGGCAGGCTCTCAGGACTCTCTCCAGGTCTGCCTCATTGGGCAGTGGGGGGCTGGATGGGAAGCAGAGCGGCTGGGACTTGAACTGCCGCTCTGGTATAGGGTGCCAATGTCAGTGGCAGCATACCCTACTTTACCCCAACTCCAGCCCCGGCCCACTCTATTTCTACGATGCCACGGTATATCCATAGTTGGTGTGAAATAAATATTTGCTGGTGGAGTAAATAAAGAAACCTTAATTTGGATTCCTTGATAGTGTGTTTGGCTGTATCTCTGGCTGTTATCTATCTCCCACATCTGTTGTTCCATATGTACTTCCTAATTTTTAAAGCAACATCAATATAATTGTCAAGCCTCTTATTTATTTCGCATATCTGCTGAGGATTTTTTTTTCAGACTTCTCTATACTAGTGCTCACTTGGTTTGTTTTAGATCAGATTTTAAGGATGATCACTGCTCTTTTCATCAGATGGATTCAGCCATTGTGCTTATTTAAAGGCTTAAAGTGTTGACCACTTCATCATTCCTTCTTCTTCTTGTTTTCAGTCCGCAGGAAGATAAAATCATTTCGTGATTGATTCAAAAGCCAAGGAGAATTCGCCAGCTCGGGATGGAACCTTGGGTTGCTCAGTGGCCACCTCAGCCCCAGGGGAGGCCCAGCTCACCAGCACAGGAACCTGGTGGAGCACTTCAGAGAGACGGACGCCGTCGGTCGGCCACGCATTCTCGCAACAACAGGGAGAGGCTTCCCCGATGGCAGGAGGCCCGGGGGAGCCCCCAGCCCCAGCAGGACCCCAGGCCGGGTCAGCAGCAGCCTCACCCTGTGCCCTGGCGTGGGCCGTGGCAACAGTGTGGATCTGGGGCTGACTACCATGAAGGGGGTCATCACGGGCAGTTGTATTCAAGGTATGGATTTGGGGCCTTGGCCTGGACTATGCACGTGTGAATGCTTGTTCTCTTCCTTCTTCCTTTTCCTTTTATTTCTCTTTCCATCCCCACCATACCATATTGTCTTAGTTGAAATCTATTTTTATCCCACCCCAAATTGGTTTCCAGCAATTGAAGAGCATGTTTTTCACCTTGCCCCCAAATCCTTCCAGGCAGCTTGCTAAAGAAGCCAGCCGTGTGTGTAAGGGGAGGGGTGGAGGCAGAGGTTCCTAAGAGCAGACGGACCCTCTTGAGGGCAATAGAGATAGACTATATAAACACTGTGCCTAGGGACGCCTAGCTGCCCTTGGTCATTGGACCAGTCTGACCGGGGTTAGTGTGATGACCCCAACTCCAAAAGGATCTTCCTGCCTTGAATGGCACCTCGAGTGTGGCAGGGGTCAATAAGCCTTTGTGGAATGAGTGGGAGCTGTTTGGAATACAGCTTCAGGGGATGTAGACTTGCAGGTTTCCAGTTCAAGAGGGAAAGGTCATACAGAGGTCATTGTAGGTTGGAGAACCTGCAGTCCTGCTCCTGGAGAGCTCATTGACCGAACTTCAACATCTACAGTGTTGGGAGCCATCTGTGCTCTCTTTAGCTCTTCTGGTTAGCATCCATCTACTTGCCTACATACTCAAGGTTAAAAGTATGATAACCATTGTAAAGAATTTTGCCTCTATGAAACATGAGCTATTAACTGATAGAAATATTAGCAGCGTAGTATCTCTTTCTCCAATAATTTAGGATAGTTGAATGTTCGATTTATGTTAAGGAAAGAGGCTGTAAAAGTAATTAAAGGCAAACTTGATTTGGATCATCTAATTTCTGTCATGTGCATGGGGGTTACAATAATGCATTGGATCCTTACACAGTCATATAGAAAGGGCTCTGATCTGTGAGGACAAGACTTTGTTTTTGTATTATATCCTTAATGTGCTTATGAAACAGAGAGAGAGAGAACAAATATTTCCACCCTGGAACCTGCTGGTTTATCTCCAAATGCCTGCATTAAAGGCTGGGTCAGGCCAGAGGCTTCCAGGCAGACCCTGGGTTGCAGATGAAGTTTGTCTGCTGAAGTCTGGCAAGTGTCCCACTGGCCTCTGTTTATACATTCACCTCCAATGTCTGACTCTTTGTGACACTTCAGGCCCAGTTATGAGGGTGCCTATCGGAGCTACCACCCTCCAGCCCTGAAGGAAGACTATGCTTACAGAAGTCATTACTACCACGGACACCCGCAGTGGCTGCAGGAAGAAAGAGGTAAAGGATGAACTTCACGAAGGCTTTGGGACAGGGGATAGCACCAGGGGCTTAAGACCACAGGAGCCAAGAGGAGAGGCTCTGTCTGGGCAGGTGCGGCTGTGACGGAAACATGGCTCTGAACAGCGTGGAGAAGGAGGGAGAGAAAGGTGTTCCCAGTATGTGTACATGATGACACTGTGTTTGTCTTTATGCTGCCAGTGCTGGGGAGAGCTTGTCATTCATCCTCTCTACGGCCAGGGATATGGGCTCTGACCCTTGAAGCCAGCACTCAAGGACATCTGGTGTGTGTGGCAGCTCTAACGGGCTTCAAGGCAGCAGATGTGCCCCAATAGGCATTTTACCAACTGTAGCAACAGGCTTAGGTGTGAGCGAGTGGCAGGTCCTTCCTTCCTTCCTTTTTCTTTCTCTTTCTACATTTATTTATTCACTGACATGCAGACTGGCAGAGAGAGAGAGAGAGAGAGAGAGAGAGAGAGAGAGAGAGAGAGAGAGAGAGACATCTTGTACCCCACCAATTCACTTCCCAAAAGGGCTCAATGATTGGGACTGGATTGAGCTGAAGCCAGGAGTCTGACACTCCATCTGAGTCTCCCATCAGGGCAGCAGGGGCCCAAGCACTCAGGCCACCATCCACTGCCCCCATTAGTAGGGAGCTAGCTGGGAAGTAGAACAGCCAAGACTTGAATCAGGGCTTTTCTGTGCGTGGCTCACATTTTAGGTGGCAGCTTACCACACTGCATTACCACGCTGGCCCCTAGTGGCAGCTTCCAACTTGCTAGAAAAGAAAAATTCGTTTCAATGTTGAACACACACACCATCTCCACCATAAACAGTTACGAGTCACACCAATGAGATCGGTTCAGGAAAGATCCAGAGGGTATCTTCGGGCCTCTCATTGTTAGGTCTCTCTCATCAATTCAATTCCATTGGGAAAATTTGTTTTTGAACCCATTTTCCTACAGTAACTCAGTTTCACAGTTAGAATTCATCTGAAGGAAGCTCAGAAAGAAGTGATCTGCATTTCCTTGTTTCCTCTGAGGGTGCAGTGCCAAGGCATGGGAGTCCTTATATCTGGCATGAAGAGTATCGGGATCAGAAGTACCTCCGAGAGCATCGTCATGAAAACCAAAGGAGTTCATTTGGAAGAAATGATGATAGCCAATTCCAGTAAGTACAGAAAGGAGGCTGACGTGACTCAGCCCAAGGTAGACTAGGCTGGGCAATTTTATGTCTAATGTTCACCTATTTATTTGGAAGGCAAAGTGACACAAAGAGAGGGAGAGACCCAGAGCACCTTAGATCTCCCAGCTGCAAGGGGGGGGAGGGTCCATTCCTCACATGGCCCCAATGATCAAGAACAGGTCAGGCAGAAGGCAAGAGCCAGGAAGGTCGTCTGGATCTCCCACATGCATGCAGGGCCTCAAGCACCAGCACCACTTTCTGCTGCCTTCCCAGACATTAGCAGGCGGCTGGATTGGAAGCGGAGCAGCTGGTCCTCGAACTGGTACTTCAAGGTGGGACAGGAATTGCACGTGGGGGTTGATCCAGTGGTACCACAATGCTAGCTCCCATGTCAGGCAAATCTTACAGACTGTGATGCTGGTCCTCTGTCCCAGCCACAGGGATATGACAGTGTCCCAGGAGGACCTGGCTAGCTGTCCCTGCGGTCCTGGGAGTTAGAGGAGTTAGAGAGACTGTGGTCTGAGTTCTGGGAGTTCGGTGAGGCTTTGCTGGAGGAGGACCTATTCTTTGGGGTCTCACGACACAAGCAGTCTTCAGGAGCACTCATGATGGCATCCTTCTGCGGCATGTCCTCTGTGCCCTCCGTGAGTGCTAGGAATGGGGCAGCCACTGAATGCAAGGCAAGGCCGGTGTCTACACATGCCCAGGTGTCTACCTTGACCCCTGTGGCCCTGGCATTGACTGACCCAAGTGCGCTGCTTCTTAGCCACCCCAAGACGTCAGATTGCAGAGCACAACCCTTCTCCCTGGTGCCTGAGGCCACTTCCAGTGCCCATGCTGGGGTGCCCAGGTGTCCCTCTTATTCTATTCGAGGAAGCAAATGAGGAGGTGGGGCTAATGCTATTCTCTGGGGAACTCAGGTCGCCAAAACCTGCCTATGTGTTGAAGCAGGGCAGCCCCGGTGGAGAACAGTTCTGCTTTGCTGTCTGCCTCTTGCAGTTCCCATTGTTCCGTTGTAGGTCCACCAGGTGGAATCCTTATCAAGATGACCTTGGGCAGGACAGACCAAACGAGCTTTTGCCAGAGACGTTGTTGAGTGGGGCCTGGAAGAACAAGGTCAGTTGCAGTGATGTGGGGTCTGTAGGCTCGTGGTGGGCATCATAGGGGTCCTGCCACAAAGTGACCCTGTTCACAGGGCCCCTGGGGATGGGGTCTGTGGGGCCCATTCCTCCCCTTGGGCAAAGCCTCCTCTTACACCTGCTCCTTTCCTTGCTTTCCCGCCACTGGCTTCTGGCTCCAAAGCCCTGATGGTCTCTTTGTATTTTGATTCTATAGACAGGTTGAGAAAATGTCACCAAAGTCCCCTCATACTGCTGAGAAAGGCAAGAGGGGTCACTGGTGTTTGGCGTTAGGGACCCCGTGTTCTCTAGCTGGGCCACAAAATAAAACTTCTAACAAAAACAAAAACCTTCAGGGACAAAGCGGGCTAAGCTTTTGGTCTGCAGCAACAGCATCCCATATGGATGCTGGTTCTAGTCTCAGCAGCTCCACTTCCCATCCAGCTCCCTGCTTGTGGCCTGGGAAGGCAGTGCAGGACGGCTCAAAGCCTTGGGACTCTGTACCCGTATGGGAGACTTGGAGGAAGTTTGTTCTAGTTCTGGTTGTTGTGGCCATTTCAGGAGTGAGCCAGTGGGTGGAGGATCTCTCTTCTTTTCTCTGTAAATGTGTGGTTTTTTTTTTTTTTAAATAAAAACAAAAAGTAAAAGACAGGACCCACTGTCTGCAGGGTCTGTACTTCCCACTGGGCCATAATGCATCATTTAGCAAAAAACCTGTCTTCCCAAATGATCCCTTTTTCTTTCAATATATCTACTCCCAATGGATTTATTGTGAAGTTTGAACTTTGTTTTTTCAAAGAAAGCACTCAGGAAACCCAGCTCCAGAAACTCTTTCCCCATGTGTTCCTCCTGTTTTGAACTTGCAGCCATCATTGGCCAGCAAATCCAACCTTGTCCGGCAGCATGAGTCTGGCCTCAGCTCCAGCAGCTACGAGCTCAGTCAATACATGGCGGATATGTCGGAGCACCATAATGTTACGGCTGCAGCAGGCTGGCGTCCAGTGTCAGCAGGTGGGTACTGAAGTGATCGCAGAGGTTGGTTGAGTCTGATGGGGGAAGGCCAGGGGGCAAGGAGCTTGGAAAGTCATCCTTACGTTGTGTTTCCAGGAAGGGATCAGGGTTGGCCTCTCATGCTTCTTTAGTTCTTCCAGGAAGAGGCCAACCTTGGCTCCATTTCCCACCTTGACTCTTAGAATAGAGATTGCATCGTACTTGGTTCCTGGAAGCGAACACCGCCCTTGGCTATGGTTAGGCTGGAAGCTTTTAAAATGGGTTTCTAAGTGACAGATGAATACAGTAAAGACCAAAGAGAATTAACAAAGCCAAACTGGGACACAGAGCCTAACAGCTTGTCTGGAAGTCGGAGGCCTGCTGTAAGTGGCGAAGTTCTGAAAGCTAAACTCCGTGACTTCCCTGAACTGCTGAGAAGCAGGGCTGGCACGTTGGCCTTTGGACCAAATCGTCAAGTTGCTAACGTTGTGTTCTGATGTATTCTTGTATTCTGATGGCTGCCTGGGGACTGGGGAGCCCATCCAGTCTGATCCTGGACCTGGGTTTCATGTCTCTCAAGAGAAGCAGTGGGGGTGAAGCTAATGATGTCCATCTGTGTCTGTTGGCCAGAGGATGTCTTGGTGGCTGGTCCCAAGGCACCCAAGAAGTTCCATGTCCCTCACGTGTCCGTGAGTTTTGGGCCGGGAGGTCAGCTGGTGTGTGTGAGTCCCAGTTCCCCCATGGATGGCCAAACTGCTCTTGTTGAGCTGCACAGCATGGAGGTAAGCAGGATCCCGTGTCTCTTGGGGGCACCCAGCTCCTTTGCTTGCCTGGCCTGAGCTTGGCATCTCCAGGAATGGTTGTTCTTGTGGAGTCCTGGGCCATGCGTGTCCCAGACTGGAGGGTGTGGGAATGGTGGGCTCTCCTAGGGAGGAAGTGATGCTGCAGTTCCGTTTCCCTTGCAATGCTAGCAGCTCATCTTCAGCAGTCAAATGATTCATGTTTGTCCTTTTGCCGTCACCCCAAGGCACTGAAATCTTATGCTAGGGCCATGGCCTTGGGATGTGACCCTGACAGGACCTTAGGACCTTAGGTGGAACAGTATTGAAGGCCAGATCTTATTCTTTGTTCCAGGTTCTTCTCAATGATTGGGAGGAACAAGAGGAGATGAGAATGTTCCCAGGACCCCTGACCAGGTAAATCATGCGTGAGCTGCTGAGTAAGGGCTCTGGAAACCTGTAAACTCTTGCTCTCCAGGGTCAGCATTTTGGGAATTTGTTTTTGGTTTCCTTAGAAGAAGGATTGAATAGTTGGAAGAGAATTGTCTGTGTGATGAAATAGAGCCAAGCGTGAGCTGAGTCATTTCATAAAACCATTTTCATGGTGAGGGGCCTGGAAGAGAGTTAGCTCAACTGAAGAAAACTTTTAGTCTGTCCCATTTTGCAGAAGCAGTGTGGAAGGGCGCTTTAGCATCCTGTGTATTTGGCAGAGACTGGTACAAGTGTGGGGTGGCCTGGGAAACTGCTGAGAAGTGGATCATGGGGGAGAAATTCTGTCAACAGTGGCTTTTTCTTTGTTTCCTGGAAATATAGATTCAGCAGTTTACAGGCTGCTGTGCAAGTCTCCCCCCTGCAGGAATGAATTGGAACTAGTTTTGTAAACCAGTCATGTTTCTGGTTACAGATCAGGGTGGCCTTATTTGAAACAGTCCTGGCTAGGTAAGGGGGCACCTGAGTACCCCATCTTTGCCCCCTTCTGCCTAGGGGCATCGTGGTGGTGCACTTGGTCCCTCCTCTGAGCCTTAGTTTTCGCTCTGAGAATAGTTGCGGCACCTGCTCTGCCTATTGGAGGCGGTGGCTGTGTGGCTCAGATGACACCAAGCGCAGGGAAACCTTCAGGGTTATTCCCACCACACAAGTGTGTTGTCAAGAACATCCCCCTATGGTATTTGACAACTTCTTCAAGTAAAAATGAGTGCTGTCTGTATGTCTCCCGCACAGCCATACAGATGTGCGGGTGGAGACACAGCTCATATATTCGGGCACTTGAATGTTGGTCCCAACTTGCCTTTAACTTAGTGAATGTCCTCAACAAAATAACAAAGTTCATTTATTGAGCCTGTAGCTAATTTCTTTTTGCGTGGAGGCAGGTTCTTTTGTTGTCGCTCTTTTAGGAAATTAGCCGAGGCTCAGAAGAGGTCAGACACTGGCCTACACTGAGAAGTGGCAGAGCAGATGTGGACCCAGGGTTATCCGGCTGCAGCAACTGGGCAGTCACCTGCTATGCTGTGCGGTGACGCCAGGGCTGTGGCTCTGTTTTCTCCACTGTAAAATGGACCTTTTTGTTCTCTGCTACAAGGAAAGTGCTTTTGCGTAGATACAGACTTCTCAGACCCAGGCAGGCCTCCGTCTCTGCCCCAGCACAGTCGCGCCTTCACCTGGGGGCCTGAGCTGGGCAAGTGTCAGCCTGCTCACTCTTGGTGCCTTGGACTTGCTCCACAGGGACGATGTGCATAAGGTAGACATCATGACATTTTGCCAGCAGAAGGTCACCCAGAGCCGCAAATCCGAGACGCTTGGCAGCAGAGACTCAGCTCTCCTGTGGCAACTGTTGGTTCTCCTTTGTCGCCAGAATGGGGTAAGTGCTTGCTCTGATGGGGCATCAGGTGCAGACTAAACTTTAAGTCTCCAGGGGTGGCTTACATTCGACAGGATGAAGAGAAGTAGTATTAAAAAATCAATGTGTTCCCCAAGGACCTCGAGTGTGCAGCCCCTGGCATCCTTCTGTCCAGACCTGGGATCACCGTGTGGTTCCTGAGTTGGCACAGAGCCAGATCCTGCACCTGTGACAACAGCAATGCTTCTGGTGGCCTGTGTGGTGCCTGACGGGCACAAAGTAACCACAACACTGAAGCCAACATTTGAAATAGAGCGACTCAAGCACCTGTCTCTTTGTCTTGACTTGTCTGGCCTCCTTACAAGGAAGGCAGGTGGATGCTTGGGCTGGGAGCAGGAGGACTTCATCCACCGCCGCCCCGCCTACCAGGATAACCCTATTTGCCTTGCAGTCCATGGCGGGCTCTGACATCGCTGAGCTGCTGATGCAAGACTGCAAGAAGCTGGACAAGTACAAGAGGCAGCCCCCCGTGGGCAACCTCATTAAACTGACCGATGAGGACCACGTGGAGCTGAACTCTGGGACAAGGAACCTACTCACCGGAGAGATCCCCCCCAGCGTGGAAACACAGGCACAGATTGTGGAAAAGTTCACGAAACTGCTCTACTACGGAAGGAAGAAGGTGAGGAACCCCTTTCTCCAGGCTTGAACCACCGCCACTGCTTCCCCTTGGCCCCCGATACTGAATTTGTGACAAATTCAGAAAGGTACACAGATCTATTTATTTATGTGGAAGAGTTACAGAGAGGAAGACAGAGAGCAGACAGGCACTCTGCTGGTTCACTCCCCAATGGCCGGTGTTGGACCAAGCCAAAGCAGAGAGCCAGAAGCTTCCTCCAGGTCTCCCACATGGATGACAGGTGCTGAAACATGTGGGCCATCTTTCACTGCTTTCCCAGACTGCTAACAGGGATCAGACATGGAGCAGCTAGTATACAAACCAGTACTCATATGGGATACCGGAATCGCAAGTGGTGGCTTAACCTGTTATGCCATAATGCAGCCCCAAGTCTTGCTTAAATTGAAGTTGTTTTGAAAAACTTAAGTCATAAACTAGGGGCCAGCACTGTAGCCTGGTGGGTTGAGCTGACACTCGAGACACTGGCATCCCATTTGAGTGCTTGTTTGAGTTCTAGCTGCTTCCCTTCCAATGCAGCGCCCTGCTAATGTGCGTGGGAAAGCAGTGGAGGATGGTCCACCTGTTTATGCCCCTGCCACCCACTCGGGAGACCTGGAAGAAGCTCCTGGCTCCAGGTTCAGTGTGGCCCTGCTCTGTGGAGCAAACCAGCAGGTGGATGATCCCTGTCCTCCTCCTGTCCCCTGTAACTCTGCCTGTCACGTAGGTAAATGCATCTTCAGAGAAGTCATAAAGGAAATTACATTTCCGGAGATTTTCCTACTGCACTTACAATTACTCTCTCCTGTTTCTTATGGCACACTCTGTACCATTCTTGAACCTTTTCTTTGGCAATTATCAAAATTTCTTAGAAAATTTTGGGATTGGTGAGTATTTTCCATGAAGGGACAGATAGTAAATGTCCTAGGCTTTGTTGGGCTTGGGGTCTTCCCCCTTGATGTCCCCTTTGTGGTATGAAAGCACCCACACATGGCACATGTGTGAATGGGTGTGCAGCTGATACAATTTTTATGGACATAGAAATTTGAGTTTTGAGTTACATATAACTTTTGTGTGTTACTCTTTAGTAAAGCTTTCCTTTGTCTCTTCGCTCTATAGTTTAGCAAGGGGACCGTTATTCTGGATCTGTGGTCTGTAATCCAACAGGCAGTGTGCTGGATTGCCTTTGGGTCATCTAGAACTGACCTTTCCCTTCATCATGACCTCTAGCGGGCAAAGCATCTGCCTCACCCTTTCTATCAGTTCTTCCTTGTTATTTTTTACAGATCCGGAGTTATAGCATATACTATAGGTAATTTAACTAAAACCCATAGTCACCTGGTCAACTTTTAGGTAATTCTCCATCTTCGGCTATTACAAGCAATGCCGAATGAAAAACCATTGTCATTTTGCTCAGTGTGACAGCATACATATTTCTAGTCGTGGAGATGTTGGGTCAAAGGGTATATGGCTTACAATTTTGAGAGCTAATGAAGGTTGCCTTTTTTGACATTGTACTAATTCACTCTACCAGCAATGGGCAAGGGTGCCTGGAATATATAAAGGAACTCCATCTGGGTGTGTTGAGCTGTTTTTGTAACTAGCAAATGAGAGGTGAAAGTATGATTTGGTATACTTATTTGTTACTATGGATGAAGTGCTAGATATTTTGATCTTTGAAGTTTTCTGACATGAATTCTCTATATTTTCCTATTGGATCTTTTCCTTATTTGGTGATTTGTTGAAAATCTTAATTTTGAAGGACTTTCTGTCCAAAATCACAGAATTTTTTTGGAGGATCATATTAATGTATTTTTAAAGATGTATTTGTTTATCCAAACGTATGAGTTACAGAGGGGAGGGAGTGAGGTAGGGGGGGTGGGAATGAGGTAGGGAGGAGAGGGTGTGGAGTAGGGTGGGGTAGGGCTGAGGCGGAGATCTCTTCCATCCATTGTTTGCTCTGGCTGTACCAGCCAATGTTGGGCCTCACCATCCCATGCTGGGCTACATCAACCAGTGCTGGGCTTCACCAGCCAGTGTTGGGTCATACCAGCCAGTGCTGGGCCTCACCAGCCAGTGCTGGGCCACACCAGCCAGTGTTGGGCCACATCAATGATCAGTGCTAGCAGCTAGGTTTTTCATCTCCCACATGGGTGGCAGCAGCACAAACACTTGGCCCATTCTCCTCTGTTTTCTCAGGCCATTAATAGGGAGCTAGATTGGAAGTGGAGCAGCTGGAACTTGAGCCTGAGCCCATGTAGGATGCCGGCATTGCAGATGTTGGTTCACCTGCTTCACTACAGCACTGGGACCTGTTTTAACGTATTTCTAAGGAGGGTGATTGATCAGCCAAAGAGCCAGGATTTAGAGCTTACTAGCCTGAAGCCTGAGCTTCAGGTCCTACCACCTCCCAGCAGCCGAGCTTGCCCAGCAGTAAGCAAGGTGTAAATGGAGTTCCTGGGAGCTCAGAGGGCCTTATGATGAGTTGGATACTCAACATACTTCTAAAATCTCTTTATTTTTATTTTGTTTACTACGGTCTTATTTCTGGCATCATGCACAATTGACATCCTTAACAGAAGTTCTAAGTATCTTATTCTAAAACTCTATTTTTGGAAGAGTAGCTTTTTGAGTAAGCGATCGATTCCCAAACCAAGCATCTAAACAAGTCCTTTTCAATAGAAGAGTCATGGAGAGCATATGGCACTGGGGTTCCTTCCTCCTGCATCCGAGGGTTGGTTGGAGTCCCAGAGCTGCTCCGGGTGCCAGCGTCCTGTTGGTGTGCCTCCGGGAGGCAACTGGCGACAACCCAAGCGCTCGCATCCCTGCCATCCATGTGGGAAACTTGGATTGAATTCTTGGTTCGTGGCTTTGGTCCCAGATCTTGAAGTTATTGGAAAGTGAACTAGCAGGTAGATTTCTCTGTCTCTAAAATAATTAAAATAAATTTGAAAAGATTATGTAATGTTTAAATCATTGATGCCATTTTCTTGTACTGGATGTGACACTGAAATCCTTAACTATGGTTATTTATTTGTTCTCTCTCTGTCTCTCTCTGTAGGGTTATGTGGGGGAGAAATTGGGCTGACCAAGGAATTTGTCACTTGGACATAGAATTACCTCATTAATGATTCCTGTCCAAAACCACATTATTATTTCTTGGTACTAAGGAATTTATTAATACCAGCTCAAAGCTTCATGTATCCATTATTCCCTTAGGAAACAATTAGGAAAAGTAAATGAAAAGGTGTTTTAAAATTTGCAGCACTAACCCATCTCAGCTGCTGAATGATGTCAGTGACTCGGGCCATGCAGACGTTTGAGAGTTAATGAGCAGGTCATCGTTGCGTTGGGTGGATAGGCTAACTGCTGATGTATTGACAAGGTGTCTCGGTGCCTGTGGGAGAGCACGGCAGGCAGGCACTAGCGCCCCTCCAGCATGCTCGTTGGGGGGTTGGATCCTCTCTGTTCCTCCAGGTACAGTCTCTCAGGCTTCTCAGGAGTCACTCGCAGGGCTGGGTGGCCAATGACCATTCTGTTTCCATTCCGTGGCTTAGGACTTGGCCACACCCAGGTGCCCAGAGAGGTGGGAAAAATGTCCCAAGTTTTTGCCAGGGAGGACAATCTGGATTTTGGTGAGCAACTCCCAGCCTCTGCCACTGTTGTTTTAAAGGGATTGTTCCTTTAACACACTCTTAGAAAAGGCCACTTTATTCTTTTGACTACTCACATTTTGAGATCAGGTGCTTCTCTTATTTTTGGTGTGTAGACTCTTAAAAATGTTTCCTAACTTTTGCTAAAAAGATAAAGTCAACTGGCAGCCGTGTTTGAGGGAAGGTAATGAGCTAGCTAATGGGTTTTGGTAAGGAGGAGGGGGCAGCCTAGAGAGCAGGACTGCGTGGCTTAGAGCCTGCTTCCCTGCCACACCTTCTTCGTGTGCCAGTGGGACACTCTGAGCCGTCCTCCTGGTGGATGGCTCCACTCTCCAGTGCAGAGGCGCTCACGGGCAGGCACCTGCGGTGGTGGTTGAAGGAAGAGGGGTAAGGCTCTGCTCAATGTGGTGTTCTGGATTTCAGGAGGCCTTGGAGTGGGCCATGACGAACAATCTGTGGGGCCATGCCTTGTTCCTGTCCTACAAGATGGACCCAAGGACTTACAACTGGGTCATGAGTGGGTGAGTCTGGCTGGGCGCTGAGGTGTGTGATGGGGATCAGGTTTACAAGATGCAGTGAGAAGGCCCACACTCCCAGAAACTTCCAGCTTCTCTTCTGAGCAGCACACAGCATCTCTCACCTCCAAGACTTACTACATCCAAGGTGCACGGGTATTCCTCCTACTTGCTGCCCTCACTGTCTAAACAGTTAAGTAGGTTTCTGCATTGCCGGAGTCTTTTTTGTTTTTTCTTTTTGATTGGAGGGGGCTGTTCTGGCTTCTTCCATCCTTGAGAAAAGGTGGTCACTGAGGTTGACCGAGAGCCTCCAGCTGGAGGGATGGATGCCTTCGCCTTGTGGCTGTCAGCTGCTCCTCAGCCCTGTGGGGAGGGAGGACGGGATCAGGGTGCTGAGAAAAACACAGCAACAGGAGTGGCAGACCTCGAGCTGTGGCAGGAAAAGGGTTCTGGGGACTGGAGCTGGAACTCAGACACACACACACACACACCACACACACACACAGCAGCAGCAGCAGCAGCAGCAGAGCAGGTGCTGAGACTGAGCTGAGGATGACCTGGGCGCTGGGGTGCACCTCCAAGCAAGTCCCAGCCAGAGCAAGACAGGGATACAGGAGAAAAAGGTCCACAGCCAGGAGAATGAGCACACACTAGGAGGAAGGAGAATCAGGCGGTGGGCATCGTGGGTGCTGGAGGAGCATTCTGAGGGAGTCCTCCGGGCTCCGGGTGGTGTGCCTGGGGCAAGGCCAATGAGAGGTAGTGGGATGCACCTGGAGGGAAAGGGCTTGGGTCAAACCATGGCGGGGGCGGGGGGGGCATGTTCCCTCTTGATGTCTGTCTGCCATTGGTTAAAGCTGTGTTGCTGCGCTCTCAGCTGAACTTGAGCAGGCTGGGGCAGAGGCAATGATGGCCGCCTGCACTTGAAGCTCTTTTCGTGATCCTGGGAGCCTACTCTTCATGGTGGCCTTGGCTGAGCATCTGCTTCTTTCCACGTGTCCCATCATCCCCAGAGCTGCTGGATGGTGGGGACCCTGCAGTCCCTGGACGACAAGTGCCCTGCAGGCCATTCTGAGTGACAGTCTTCCCCTGGAGTGAACACCCCACTCACACAGGGCACTATCTCCAAGGCAGCATTTTGCCTTGGGCCGTTGAGTTGTGTGGGGGCCCAATGAATTGTGGGAAATCTCCCTTACTGAGCACGCAGATTGTGTCCTTGTTAAGCACATCCCGTGGCTTGTCTCCTGCAGGCTCATTTCTGGTCCCTGTCCCATGCCTCTCTGGTTATTGAAAATGGCTAGCTAGTGCTGGGAGTAAAAGCAGAAGCACTCCAGACCCAGGCTTGTCACGAGCTGTAGCAGTGAGGTGGGGAGCTGCAGGCTTGGCAGGGAGGAGGTGGGACAGGGTGGGAGGGGGTCAGGGGCAGAGGGTGCTGGGAATGAGGGGCTCCGTGATGGCCCTGGGATGCCTTGTGGTAGAAGCAGGCTGTCAGAAATGGCTGCTCAAGAGTCAAGGTGGCAGGGCCAAAGTTCAGAGGACTCCCTGTCAGAGCAAGGTTGGTGTGCAGTGTGCACTGAAATGCAGTTCCTTCCAAACTCTCCAAACCCTCGGAGAGGCCCAGGGAGAGAACGCCAAGTGGAAATGTCCCAGGCCTTGCAGCTCACGGGCAGGGACGCCCGTGTTGGGCCCCACTCATCGGCCTCTTTCTTTGCAGCTTCACCAGCACGCTGGCCCTCAACGACCCCCTGCAGACCCTCTTCCAGCTCTTGTCCGGGAGGACCCCACAGGCAGCCACGGTATGCCCTGTCCCAGCCTTCCCTCCATCCCGCAGAAAGGCGGCTCCGGAAGGCAGTGGGGGCTTTCCAGATGGGATGTGGGTATCTGAAGCTTGCTCACCCCCTGCTAGGGGCCTTGCCCTGTGCCGAGGGCTTCCACCACATTGTTTTGTTTAATACATGGAGGTGTGACACAGACCCTGAGGTGCAGAGGGTTAGTGGGTTGTGGGGTGTGCATGTGCCCAGGTCTGTCTGAGTCTAAAGACCTCACCCTTCCTGTGTTCCCGCAGCTGCCAGCTCTGCTGCCTGGCACGAGATGGGGGGCTCCAGGCTTCCCTGGCAGGGCTACCCTTTATCCCCAAGGAAAGCCTTCCTCCATGGCACCTCGATCCTTCAGAGCCGGACAGGGGGGATGTCATGTGTCCTGGAGCTGACTGGGGCGAAGAGAAACCCAAGGCTGGCTTGACAGTTTTCCCATTAAAGTAGATTTGATATTTTTGCCTCCAAATATTCCTTCCTTGTTTCGGAAGTCTAAGAACTTCTAGGAGAGAGAGTGTCAACTGGTCAGTCCTTTCTTGGGGCGTTGGCTGCCTTCTGAATTTGTGTTTGTATTGCGGAGTTCCAGAAAAGGTTCCTGAAGTCTACCCTTTCATGTTTGTTTTGTTCTGTCACTCTGAAATTCCACGTACGCACATTTCACAGGTGTAAAATATACCCACCCGTGTGTGTTCCGTTAATGAAACTTTTTGTTTTTTCTCTCCTTCCCTGCCTTCCTGCTTGCTGCCTTTCTCTCTTCTTTTTTCTTTCTTTCTTCCAGAAGGTAATTTGAAAGTCAGACACACACACACATCACACACACTGGGTTGGGGGTGGGCTAGAGGGGAAGAGAGATTCCCCTTTCTTTTTTTCACTCCCCCAATCCCAAATTCTCCACAAAGGCCAGAGCTGGGCCAGGCTGAAGCCAGGAGCTGGGGATGCCACCTGGGGCTCCCGTGCAGGCGGCGGCAAAGCCAAGCACTCAGCCATTGCCCGTTGCCTTCCACAATGCGCGTTAGCAGGAGTCTGCATTGGGATGGAGCCCGGCCTCCCATACCTGATGCCAGCTGTCCAAATGGCACTTTAATTGCTGTGCCAAACACTCCACCCTTCTCTCTGCCCCCGTCTTGCTCGCTCTCTCTCTCTCTCCATCTTCTCAATCCCTTTGTGAGTTTGCACCAATGTCTCTTGCTTTTGAGTTCTCTCCGTATTTTTTGTCCCTTTCTGGGCTTCGTCGCTGCCGTCTTTCCTGAGCTGCGCGGGTCACGGTCATCTCCTCGTTGCTTTCCCAGGCTCTGAGAAGGCAGCTTCTCACTCTTGTTCCTGGGAAGTGATGGTTTCACTGTTGGTCCTTCCGCCCACTGCTGCCTGTGTGGCTGGTGCGAGCATTGCTGTGTGGGATGTTCTCTCATCCTCCATTTATTTTCCGAATTGCCTTCCTCCTCCAGTCCTGTAGGGGTGCTGGCTTTTATTCTGGGCTTGTTCCTTAGTGTTCCGCACCTGTCAGCAGTTGAGACGTTCCTAGGAGCTCTGGGCGGGGGTTGTATTTGGAGCTGTCTGGCATTTCCCACAGGCCTGTGGGTTCCTGAGTGGCCCAGCTCACGGGAGCTCTGTGATTCTATCCTGGCATCCTCTTTCCTTCCTCCTGCTGCACTGCCGTTTCTTCCTCACAGCATTTGGCAGCCTTCCTTGCGTCTTGAGGTTTTTGCTGACAACTAGTTTTAATGAAAATGTATTTCATTCACCCTTTGGCTTTTCTATCCTTCTTGCTTGTGACAATTCTAAGAAAAGGGAAGTGATGTCTTTTGTGCCTCATCCTAAAGCAGGCAGCTGAGGACAGCAGCTGGGAGGCCAGTGCGGTATCCGGTGGGAGAGCTGGGAGTTGGCCCGCCTTCTCACATCTCGTCAAAGGCAAGATTGCAGTCACCTGTGATTGGCAGGGCAGTGGCAGAGGCGTGGCCCCTGGGTGCCCTGGTGTGTGGCACGTCACAGGTGTCACGCTGCGTTTTCTCCTTGCTGCTGTGGAAGCTTGGTTTTGCAGCTTGATCTCACAGAGCCTCCATGCTTCATCGTTGCAGGAGTTTTGGTGCCAAACCGGTAGATCTACAGTGAAAATTTAAAGGAGAAAGAATAGCTGAACACACCAGTCCAAAGCCTGACCCATGGAAGTTAGTTAACAAATAAATGCTTAGCACAGCAGGTGGCTCATGGCAGGCGATCGGTGAGAACCGTGGTCATTATGGTGATGGACCCTCCTCCTCCTCACCCACTGAGCTGCCCCTGCAGACCAAGGCTGGAGCGCCAGTCTATGTTTTGCACAACTGCCTGACTCTGCTGCCCAACTTCCTACAGCCCCCTCGGGCAGACATTGGTGGTCTCAGTTCTGGCGATGAGGGAACCAAGGGTTAGAGGAGTTTGATGTTTTGTGTCGGGCCCCACGGCGACTGAGAGGGCACGGAGAGCTGACCGCTGTGTCTGTGTTGTTGCTGTGACATCGTTATTCATTTTGCGTCTCCCCAATCCTTCTCCAGGACCAGATGGTGGGAGAGCACCTCGGGGGCGGGCCTTCCTCCCACTGCCTTCGAGTCATTGCTCTCTGCTGCTTCTGCTGGTCAAGGCTGGGAAGGACATAGCCCTTGGCTGCGGGTCGGGGTGGAGCAGGGGACTGAGTGGGGACCTAGTCCAGGCTGGACCACGTGGCTTGATTTTCTCATTATCTATTTGGTTCTAGGACTTTTTTTTTTTTCGTAAATAAGACAATTCTAAATCAGTGGATGAAAGCATTGCAGGCGGTGTGGTGCCCTCCAAAGCAGAGGCCAGCAGCCCGAGCTTCGTGCTGAGTGTAAGTCCTTCTGTAAGCTGTCAGGCTTTTCTTGCTCTTTTGCAGTGCTGTGGGGACACGCAGTGGGGAGACTGGAGACCTCATTTGGCTGTGATTCTCTCCAATCAGGCCAGGGACCCGGAGCTGCGTCAGCGTGTGATTGTCACCATGGGGGACACGCTGGGTAAGCGGGAACCTGCACTGCCCCCGCCCCATGTCTGCAGGTCAGCCCTAAGCGTCGTGTCCTCACTGTCCTAGCTTTAGTGCAGGGCCAGGGTGGGCACCTCATGATATTCTGGAACCACGGGGCATCGGTGTTCTGAGAAATTGAAAGTCCGGGCAAGGGAGTGTCCTACCTGGCCGTGTGCTGGCACCTCTGTCTGAGCCAGCGCAGGCCAGGAGCCCGACACTCGGCACTGAGCTGGGCAAGTTCTCGCTTGGGAGATGTTCACTGGCGGATGGGGTGGACTCCCGGGCCCTGGCGTCCTGTGCCACCCGTCCTCCAGCGACCCCACTCAGTCAGGCAGCAAATTCTGTTGGTTGTCTGAACTGCCCCTGCTAATCCTGATGTCTTTGTGTCTGTCCTCTCGTGAACAAGGACTACTGAATGTTCGAGACTGGTGGCTCTCAGATTCGCAGAGTGCATGGTGTCCTTTGAGAGGCTTTGTAAAACCCTGTTCTGCTCAGCTTCGAACTGCCACGTCTGGCTGTGCCACATGTGGTGCCAGGACCTAGGGCGCCTGGAACCTCGGAGCGAAGGGTTGGACACGTTGCCAAGCCCCTCTCGGGTGTACTCATGGTGCTAGTGGTTTATCTGCTTGAGGCAATGGAAACTGTATGGGAGAACCTTTTAACATTGGGAACAATCTGGTTTCTACTGTGACTTTTATGAGGCCTGGGAGGTCGCCTATTGCTTGGTGGCAATGCCCTGGCAGGCCTGAGCTGATTGCTTCTCTGAAGGTCCCCTTCTTGGCTGAGGTCAAGTCTCTCCTTCACCTTTCACCCAACAGGACTCAGATACCTGGGAAATGTCCAATCGCATGTCCATTACAGAGCACAGGGAAGTGTCCTTTTTCTGGGGGAAGAGAATTGAGATGTTTGAGGTGCAGTGTCAGTGTGAGAGGGAGTGAGCTCCTGGGGGGGTGGGGTGCGACTCCAGCTTCCAAGTTCATGCTGCCCTGTGACCTGTCGTTGTCCTCCTGCAGCGGGCAAGGGGCTGGTGGAGGCCGCCCACTTCTGCTACCTCATGGCTCAGGTGCCCTTCGGACACTGCACCGTGAACGCAGACCGTCTGGCTTTGCTGGGCAGCAGCCACAGGTGCGTGATGTTTCAGCCCATGCTGGGTTTCCCGGCTTCTCATCTGCTGGTGTGACTGCAGAATCCGCAGGTCTGGGCCAGGAGACGCTAGGTAGCTGTCACATCGCATCACCAGGGGGCCCAGGCCTTGCTCTAAGCAGCTGCGAGCTGTGGCGGCCCGGCTGCATTGTGTCCTGTGGCCACTGGGTGGCACTCTGGCTCCACAAACAGGAATCGGTTAAAAAAAAATGAAACCTAAAAACAAAAATAAGGTTTTATTTGTGAGCTCTGTGTCAGGACGCCCTGGGCCTCTCCTGAGAGCTCATTCTGAGTGAAACTAGGAAGTAGAAGTGGGGTCCCAGCGCCCCTATGCTGACTTGGAGCTGCTCTTGGCACACAGGATCATCCCGGGAGCCCAGAGGAGAATGAATGAATGGGCTGGCAGGTGGCTCTCTGGAGGCCCACTTGATCTCTCCCCTCCCTCCCCACGACGATGAACTAAGCTCCCAGCTGGTGCCAGATCTTTTCCTTGCACCCTGTCCCTTATTACACGTTTACCCTGTGAAGAGAGTACAGAGAAGGGAAAGCGAGGCGTTTGGAAGGCAATGCAGCTACCGTGCGGAGGGGAGGGACGTGGTGTCCTGCGGGCAGGCTGCCGCAGCTTTTCCTAATGGCACTGGCCTGCTCAGGTGAGCTCCCGGGGACATGCTGTCCCTTTGTTGCATCTCTGTCCTGGCGGTTCCCAGAGCAGCCTGTGTGGGTCAAACGGGACCCCGAGTGTGTGTTTGTGGGTTACTGCAGGAAGCTCATAAAACCGTGCAGAGATGCAAATGTTTCTGACACCAAATCTTTTTTTTTTTTTTTTTTAAGATTTATTTTATTTAGTTGAAAGGCAGAGAGAGAGAGAATCTTTCCATCCAGTGTTCACTCCTCAAATGGGCCACAGGGGCTGGGCCAGACTGAACCCAAGATCCAGAAGTTTTTTCCTGTCTCCCACGTGGGTGCCCGGAGTACTTGGGCCATCTCCCACTGCTTTCCCAGGCATATTGGAAGTGGAGTTGCTGGAAAATGAGCCAAGCCAGTGCCCACAGGGGATGCCTGTGCAGTAGGCAGGCTCAGCCTGCTAAGTCACAAGGCAGCTGCCCGCTCGCGGCGCCCTCCCTAGGCCCCTCTCCTGTGTTAGGTGAGGAAGATGCAGCAGCCAGGAGCTACCGTGGCAACTGTGATGTCACTCTGGGGCAGGCTGAAGGGGGTGGGGTTAGGGGCTGGGCCCCTCATTCTCTTGCTGGAGCTGATCCTCTGCTGGCCAGGCCTGCTTTTCCCGGTGCTTCTGGAGTGACCCATGGCACCTGTTGGTGCTGAGCGGCTGGGCTTCGGCACTTCGCTTGGGGCTCCCTTCTGCACCTGCCAGCACACCCTGTTGCCCAGGGTGGCTGCCACATGCCCACCCTGCGGCTCCCAGCCTCTCCCCTCCCTTAGCGCTGCGACCTTGCCAGCCCAGACCGGGCGCTGCCATCAGGGAGACGCTGCCATCAGGGAGTCCGGAAGTCTGGCCACCTCCCCCGCCATCATCTCAAACTTTTCATTGCTCTTCCTTGTTTCAGTCAGGAGTTTTTGAAATTTGCCACCACGGAGGCTATCCAGAGGACGGAGATCTTCGAGTACTGTCAGACGCTGGGCCGCCCCAAATCCTTCATCCCTGCCTTCCAGGTAACCGAGTCCGCGGCGACGCCGCGGCCCTGACCGTGCCCCATGCCTGTGGATAGTGGCCGCCTTAGCACAGTGGTGGCCCAGTCCCCTGGGCCCAGTCTCCTGATGGCTTGCCCTCGTTAGCGCGAGCGCCGTAAGGGGCTTGCTTGCCTCACATGTTCCCTAGAAGTCTGTCATTTCTCTTACGAAAGCCCGTGTGCTGAAGGCTCCTGTTTCGCTTTGCAGCCTAGCTCTACCTGCGACCACCCGGCCCTACCTGCGGCCACCCCGGCCCTACCTGCGGCCACCCCGGCCCTACCTGCGGCCACCCCGGCCCTGCGCGCCTGTCCCCTCCACGCCTGTGCAGCATCCCCTCTCCTCCACCTGTAGGAAAGTCCTCCATCTCTCCCTGCACCTGTCACTGCTGCTTGGTGCATCTTTCCCCCTCAGGCTTCTGCCCTGAGAACTCCCCCTTGCTCTGTGCCTGCTCCCCGCTCTCTCCTCTCCTTCCTCCTGGGTCTCCTGCTGCACGGGGGTGTGCACATGGCCGGTTCTTCTGTCTTCTTAGCTTCGGGATGTGATGTCCACTGTCCCCCTCATTCCATGGAGTGATTCTATGCCGTGTCACGCTCGTGGGTGCTCTGAGGCCCAGTGCTGTTTTTCCCTCTGTCTCAGCAGTATGCCAATGAAGTGTGGGTGACACGGCAGTGCCTGAGCGGTGGATCCCCCGTGGGAGTGTGAGCATGCAACACTGGGTGGTGGCGCCAGGCACCCATCCTGAGCCGCGCAGTCGCGGGGCTGCCTCCCAGGCCGGCCCCAGGCGCCCAGGGGATGTTGGACTGCCGCCCTGTCTTTGCTTTCCTTGTCAGGTGCAGGGACCTTATGTTCCTGCCCACCTTTGGTGCTTTAGCCCAGCCCTGTCCCTCCTTGTGCCTGGTGCTGAGATGGGCACCACAACACACACCTTGTTAGCAGAGGTCGTTGACCCTGTTACGCATGCTCAGCTCGACAGCGTTGCTGGTCACGAGTGGAATCTGAGGCCCGGCGATTCACATCTCTTACCTACCACTGTTTGAGTATCCGGATGATTTCATTTAATCTTGACAGCAAGAGAGGAGCGAGGTGGTGTGAACGGTCAAACGTCTCATGTTGTAATGAGTAAACTGAGGCAGATACATACCCAGCCGTGCAGCGCTCCACACTGAGCGTGGAGCTTGGATTTGAACCTGGGTCTGCCCGGTGCCCGAGTCCTCACCCTGCCCTCATGCGCTGGCCTGAGTGCCCCTGTCTCTGTGTCCTCCTTGGGGTTTTGCACCAGGGTTGACTTTTGCTTCTTTTCTATGTGTCCTTGTGCCTGATCAATGCCCCACAAACCGAGGACTCTCTCGTGTTGTAGCCTGATGGCTAGGAAGTGGGTACCTCATGCATTTCTCTGGTGACCAAGGCCCAGACTTGAGCTCAAGGGCTGCCTGTCCTTTTTCTATAACTCATGAACCATGGACTGAATTTGGAGTTGTGCCGACGCACAGAAAAAGGGCCCCAAGTGGCATGTAGCCATTGACACTTGGGTGCCAGTGCAGAGGGGAGCCGGCAGTCAGCTGACTCCCAAGAGGTCTTATCTACTTTCCTGCCTCGCAGGCCTGCTGGACTCATCCCTGGTCCTGTTCCTGTTTGCAGGTGTATAAGCTCATTTATGCTTCCCGTCTGGCAGATTATGGCCTGGCATCCCAGGCCTTATATTACTGTGAAGCCATTGCCACGGCCATCCTGAGCCAGGCAGAGAGCAGCCACCCCGTGCTGCTAGAGGAACTGATCGAGGTACGTGTCTCCAAGGGCCCCCAGCTGGTGTTGAGCTTCAGTGCTCAGAGAAAGCCATTTCATCTCTGAACACACGGCCGTCTTTGACCACAGCCTCATGCCCAGATGTGATAAGCAGAGGTGGACCTGCAGAGGGGGATGCTCAGGGCTGGGGCAGTGGTTCTGGGGACTGGGAGTGCCATGTGTGTGCTCCCTGAGAGTAGAGTAGAAATACATGCTATGGCAAACCGTTCTAATTATAAAAGCTGGACTTCAAAAATATGGTTGGTGATTAAAACAGGAAATGATCCTTGTTAAAATGCTTTTAAATGCATGGGATATTTTATCACATGTGGGATGCATTAAAAAAAAAGAAGAAGAAAACAAAAACATTTGAACCTTTAGTTCCTGGGGAGGAAAACAACAGTCAGGCGAATGGTTCTTTCAATTAATTGAAGGAAAAATCTGTTAGCTAGAAAGCCAAAAGGCAGCGTGCCCTGAGTGTTTTGTTTTGCCGCAGATGAGGCCCCAGAGCTGGATGTGAAGGCAGTAAGGCCTGTGGTGTTCGGTAGGCCCCATACCTGAGGGGTCTGCCCCATAGGCTGATGCTCGCAAGGAGCCCAGGCAGCCAGGATGCGCGGCTGGGCGGGTTCTGGGATTGAACCAGGGGATATGGTGGAGCAGGTGATACAGTGCTGCAGGTTAAGCCCCTGTCGGTAAGAGCAGCATCCCACACCGGAGCACGGGTTCAAGTCCCAGCTGCTCTTCTTCTGACCAGCTCCCTGCAATGCACCTGTGGAAGGGGCAGCGGATCGCCCAGGGACTTGCATGGGCAAGACCAGGGTGGAGCTCTGGGCTTCTGGTTTCTGGTCTACCTGTTGGCTGCTATGGCCACTTGGGCGGAAAAGCAGAGGATAGAATCTCTCTGGTTCTCCCTCTCTCTGTGTGGCTATGCTTTTAGTGAAATAATGGCCGCTTTGTTCGAAAAGCAGAGTGACGCAGAGAGAGGGAGACGGGGGAGAGCTCTTCCATCCTCTGGTTGACGCCTCAGATGGCTACATTGGCCAGGCTGTGGCCAGGAGCCACGAGCTTCATCCGAGTCGCTCAGGTGGGTGGCAGTGGCCCAGGCACTTGGCCACCTTCCAGGGTTTTCCCGCCAGGTTATTAGCGGGAAGCTGGATTGGAAGCGAGGCAGCTGGGACACTACCTGGCGCCCACATGCAGTGCTGGTCCTGCACTACAACACAGTTAACAAACCTTGAAATGTAATGGAATCAAGCTTTGGAAAGCAAAGCAGTGTTAGTTTTGTCTGGAGCTTGTGTGAAAGATAGTCCTTCTAAGCCTCTGGCTCAGAATGGGCCTTGTTTTCAAGGTGACCTGATGGACAGCCAGAGTGACAGAGCAGACTGGAGCCAGGTCCCTGGTTCCCTGCGTGCTTTAGTTAGCATGTAATACCGACGTCGGGGACTCCCTGATGAACTTGCTGTTTCTCAGTAGTTCTTTGTAACCCAACTTACGAGGCCATCACGGCCTTTTCGCTTTGCCCTCCTTGCCTCTTTGCCCCCTCGTCGTTCCGTGGCTCTCCTTGCTCTCTGCACCCACTTGCACTCTGACCGGCTGGCAACCCGGCACAGCTGGCTGAGAGGCTGAAGCTGTCAGACCCGCTGGTTCTTGAGCGGCACCGTGGAGATGGGGTCTGGGAGCCTGACTGGCTGCGGCAGCTTCGGCGGCGCTGGGAGCTGCAGGTGAGCCAGTGGAGAGGGGTCCCGGGCGGGCCTCGCTTTCCCTCCGCTCTTCCCAGGCGGCAGAGTGAGCAGGTGCAGGCGGTAGTTGAGAGGCGAGGATGTCAGTGAGCCCTGGCCCCATGCATCCCTACGGTGGCCTGGGAATGGGTGGGCCTCTGGGCTTCTCGCCTGTTCTGCTTCCATTTTTGAAATGCTTTAAGTGCTTTCCGTGCGGGACCCAGAGGTGTTGCCCGCCCTTCTCTGAGGTCCCAGGGCGCATGTCCAATGGCTATCAAAGCTTCCCCGACTCTGCTGGGAACAATGGATCAGAGAGGACCGCTCACTTTCATGTAATGTGGGCCAGGCAATCGCTTAAAGACGTCTGGGCCTTTCCTTCGTGTTCTGAGGATTGCCCAATCTGCAGGTCATTACGGGAACAGTATAACCTTTCAGTGAATTTGCTGAGATGTTGGCTGCTGGGCTGGTAACTGGAACAGGGCCGCCCCCATGTTCTTCCTCTCACTTTGCCAAGTGGATTTTGAAAGCCCAGCCAGCCCCTGCTCCCTCCCTCAGCTGCATCCTCTGAGGCCTGCAGGTTCCTCGCCGCAGTTGGCCAGGACCTGCAGCCAGCTGCCGCTGCTCTGGGCGGAGCCGGGAGGTCTGGGAGGCGCTGTCCAGCTCAGGAGACCCCAGGGGGCTGAGCGGTTAGCAGAGGTTGCCTCACCGTGTCACTCCCACTAGAGATTCCTTTGTGATATAATTTTGGATTCAGTCTTGTTCTCTTAGTCTTGTTTTCCTTTGTGCTGCTGAAAAGGATGGTATTTTCTTTTAAAGATCGCTGCAGATGCTGGGGACCCTCGCTCTACAAACGTGGATGTTCCGAGAGCCAGAGAAACAGCAGGTACTGAGCCAACAGGGTCTTACGGAGCCACACCATGTGGGTTAGGGAAGCCCCACTCCTCGCTCCCGAGTGCCCACTCTGCCTGTGCAGGCACCTCCTCCACCCAGCCACCCTGCAGGTCTAAGAGCCTGCAGTGTGAGCTTCCTGTTGGAGCACCCAGGATCTCAGCTCACCTGTGCTCTAGCTGTGGGGTGGCAGTGTGAGATAAGGGTCCACGCTCGCTCTCCTTGAACTTTGGGCTCATTTTTCTGTTTGTCTCCACCTTGGGAGACGTAAGCAGAAGGCCCCTTCTGAGATGGGTGCACACTGCGGCACTGTAAACATATTTACCATCTGTGAGTAGACTTTGGCCCTTTATTTAGTTTTCCTTTTATTTTTATAATTTGTTTGGGGGGGGCTTCTATGAACCAGTTCCATTCCCCAAATGGCCTCAACAGTTAGGGCTGGCCCAGGGCCAAAGCTGAAGCTGGGAACTCACTCCAGGTCTCCCGTTTGGGTGTCAGGAACTCAGTTCCTGGAGCTGTCCCAGGGAGCGCTGGTGGGAAGCTGGAACTGAACTCAGGTACTGTGGGCTGTGGGGATCTTAACTGCTGGGCCAAATGGCTGTCCCCAAACTGGCCATTTACTAAGTCTCAAGTAGCCGAGGAACTCCTTAAGGGAGAGAGTTGATCCCAAAGCACAGAGGTGTGGCATTGGGTGGAGTGGACACTTCTTCCCTCCCCACACATCAGTGGGAAGTGTAGAGATGGCAAGAGGAGGTGGGCTGTGAGTGCTGCTGTTGCCATGTGCTGCATGGCCTTGTGGGGTGGGCATGTCTAGTTACTGGTCATTGCAACTGCTTTCATTGGAGGGGCACAGGCAGGAAGGTTTCTTGATTGATGTGTCTGCAAATGCCACATTTCAGCTCTCACTGCTTTCTCCTATGTCCTCAGAGCCCACTTTCTATCAGAGTCTTTCTGGACATCAGGGCTACCCAAAGGCCCCAGGGTACCAGCCGGACCTATGGCCCACACCTGAGCTGACCGGCCTGCCTCAGCAATCCTTCTCCCTCCAGCTGGGCCCTGAGGCAGGGCAAGGAGGGACACCTGGGCCCGAGACCCACCTCCCGGTCAGTGTGGAGCAACCACAGGCTCTTGAAGGAAGGGTCTGGGAGGACACGCTGTGGACGCACCCAGTTCCTGGTAAGACCTGCCGGCCTGCCTGGACACCTTGGGAGAGAGCAAACAGGGGAGGGAGGTGTGGGGAGCAGTGGGTGCAGATGCTCCTTGAGCCGGGGGAGACCCAGGTGGTGGAGTGCAGGTGCTGCCGAGAGCCTGCGTGGTGCTTCTGGTATTCTGCTACAACGGGAGGAGCGTGCTATCTCCTGTCTGACCTGCTCTCACCTTGGGCTGCCTAACTGCAGAGGGTGGGGTGAGGGGGCGAGAGGAAGACTATGGGGTGCAAAGGAGAAGAAGATGCCACGTGCACCACAGCCCAGGCCCGTTTCTGGGTCGTCCTGCACCCCAGAGCTTACCCCAGAGGTAGACAGAAGCCCATATTTCTGGCCTGCTTGGGACAAGGAAGTACTGTGGGTGGGCAGTGCTGAGCCCCAGGGAATTGCTGGGGACTCCGAGAAGGGTTAGATCTCAGGCCTAAGATAGGTTCTGGCCAGGCTGGAGGCACCAATGAAGGATGGCTGTAACCTAGATGGACATGGTGCTGAAAGGACCACAGTGGTCTTGGGGGACACAGGCTAGGTGACCAGTGTGCCCTGCGGTGGCTGAGACTGAGAAAAGCCCTGTGATCGGATAGTGGCTTGCTGTGTCTCCAGAGACCTAGGGGTTCCCGACTCTAGCCACTCTGCAGCTTGGGGTGTGCTGGTCTCCCCAAGCCCTTCTCAGGTTGCGGCGGGGGCAGGAGTGAAGGGGGCCCAGCTCCCAAACACGGCTTGTATTTCTTCTTTTACAGGTGATGTTACGGAGAGCACAGCAGCTCCAGAAATCTCCCAGCAGCTGGACAGTCTGGAAGTTGTTTCCTCACCCCAGGTGAGAGGATGACACCCAAGTGAGGCAGGTGCCTTCTCCGGTGATGCTCATGTGAACAGGTGCCCTGGTCCCTTAGACTCTTGCACGCCCCTCCCCACACTGCATAGTATTACACTGGTGTATTCCTCAGCAGCAGTCACACGTCCCACAACCTGCTATTTAAAGGCATCATGGCATTGTAGGTACAGGGAGTAATAGGAAATCCAGTATCCTATTGTGAAAGGATATTTAGCAGTTTTCAGCGGGAGTCCTTGTATTCAGGAGTAGAGATGCATACTGCAAGGTATCCTCACTTCCCAGTAGGTTAGTCTCCACTTTCCAGTTCATCTATAAGACTGTATGTACATGCATGCTTATCTATTTATCTGTCTGTTTTGCATTTTGCATGAATGTTGCTCTGTGTCGGAGAGAACATATGATATTTGTCCTTTTGGGATTGGCTTTTCTCATTGAGCACAATGGTTTCCAGCTGGGAATATTTGGTCACAAATGGTAGAATTTCATTGCTTTTAATGGCCGAGTAGTATTCCATGGAGTAGATGTGCCACAGTTTCTTTATTCCTCTTGTACGGACATCTGGGTTATGTCCCTGTCTTTGCTATTGCAGATTGTGCTGTTATAAACATAGGGTTGCAGGTCGCTTTGTCATATGCAGTTGAGCTCTCTCCATGCTGATTTCCGCAGGGGTTGTACTAGCCTACACTCCTGCCAGCAGTGGAGTAGGATATCTTTCGCCCCACATGCACACCAGCAGGTGTTAGTAGAATTCTTAGTGTAGGCTAATCTCACTAGAGTTAGGTACAACCTCACCGTGGTTTTTATTTTTATTTCCCTAATAGCTAGGGAGCTTGAGCATTTTTTTCTCGTGTGTCTGTCAGCCATCTACATATGTTCCTGTGAGAAGTGGCTGCTCATGTCGCCCTTATTTCGTTCTGGCCACAATCCTGGGAGTCAGGGAGCGGGTGTTGTTGTTGCTTAAGCTCCTGCTGTGTCCTGGGAGGCAGAGGAGAGCGAGTAGCAGAACAGGTGTGTGTGTCTGGCCTTACAGATCTGTGTTGCTTGGGCATCCTCCCTAGCTCCTGCCTAGCTACCTATCCATATGACGAGAGAGGGGACACAGCCCACACTCGCACAGACACACAGAGGCTTTTCAGCTGTACGTTCACCCCTCCAATACACACAGTAGTCGGGCCTAGCCAGGCTGAGCCAGGAGCCAAGACCATCATCCAGCTTCCCCACATGGGGTCAGGGACCCACATTTTTAGACCACTGTCTGATGCCTCTCTGGCACCATGGCAGGAAGCTGGATCAGGAATGCAGTAGTTGGGACTCAAACCAGGCCCTATAATGAGCAATGCATGTGTTCCAAGCATTGCCTCAATGCACTGCATCACTAAGCCTACCTTTGCTTCTCGTTAAAAAATTGTGTGTGTGTGTGTTCTTTTGAAAAGCAGAGACAAAGGGTGAGATAGAGAAGGAGAGAGAAACAGGGATCTTCTACCTGTTGATTCATTTCTCAAATACTGCTAGGAGAGAGGCTTGGGCTGAGCTGAAGCCATTGGCCAGGGCCTCCGTCTGTGTCTCCCACTTTGGTGGCAGCTGGCTCAAGTGCCTGGGGTGTCACCTGCAGTCTCCTTGGCTATGCATTAGAAAGACGCTGGAACTGAGAAGTACAGCAGGACTGGAACACAGCCACCAATGAACCAGTGGAGGGAAGTGCTCTCAGTCCCCCCGCCCCCTCTCTGCCTCTCAAACAAGTAATAATAATAATAAAGGATAAAAAAGTTCAATTGGTACACAGCAACAAAGAGAAAGAAGATTTTCTGTCTTTTGGCTCATTCTCCAAATGGCCACAGTGGTTGGGGCTATGCAAGGCTGGATCCAAGAGCCCAGAACTGCATCATCTTGGTCTCCTGTGTGAGTGCCTGGGCCCCAAGCAAGCACTTGGACCGTCTGCTCTTTTCCCAGGTGTGTTAGCAATGGTTGGATTGGAAGCAGAGCACCTGGGGCTTGAACTGGTACTTTAAAATGGAATGCTGCATTGCAAGCAGCAACTTAATCGTTGAGCCAGAATCCTGGCCTAATAGATTTACTTGGCATTTTGTGGTGCAATTTTTCTGTGTCATCCATAAATATGATTTTTAATGTTGGAATAACAAAGTCCATTGTATGAAAGTGCCAGTGTTCATTCCCGAGTGTGCAGCAAGTACTGCTCGAACAGAGCAAGCCGCCCCTCACGGCACTGGGGGTAGTGGGATGAGCCTGGAAAGACACAGGAGGAGTGGGCTGTAACAGGTGGCCCAGAAGTGCCTCTGAGGAGGCCTGCGGGCTGACGTGAGACTGGAGCATGGAGATGAGCTGGACAAGAATCCAGGGCCACGTGTTCCAGGCACAGAGGATGGCGAGGGCAGAGGCCTTGGGATGGGGGCTCAAGGAACCAGGGAACTGCTGTGCCCAGATGAGGGAGTGTGGAGGGAGCATCAGAAGCAGGGCCCGAGAGGGGACAAGGTGGGATCTGGAGGGCCTCGGAGGCTCCTGATGAGCGCGGTCGAGGTCGGTTATTTCCACGTTGTTCACTATTTTGGATGTGCTGCTTCCCTTACCCTGCTTCTTCCTTCAGCTCTGTCTTCTCTTTATTTCTACCCACTTCCTTTCCCTCCCTCCTTCCCTTCCTTTCTCTTTTCTTTCCTCTTGCTCATTCGTAACACACAACGATGGCATCCTGTTACATGTGACTTGCTTGTATCTGGAATGATTAAACCAGGAGAAGTTTCTACCAGGAAAGTCAGATGGCTCAGACCTGAAGCTTTGTTCTGCTGTTGGCTACTGGTGTGGCCCGGGTGGGCTGCTGTACCATTCTGTGCTCTAGTATTCTCGTGCAAAATGAGATGGTCGTAATAGTACCTCCCTCCTAGCAATATTGTAAGGATTAAGTGAACCACTTATATAAAAACCCTTAGAGCATTGCCTGCACTTAGCAAATCCAGTATTAGAATAAAAAAAGTAAAGCTTTTATTACGAGACCTGGGAGACAGCCAATGGTACGCCTCAAGGAATTGGGTCCTTATTCATGTGGGAGACCTGTATTGAATTTGGGGAGTGAGTTAGCGGTTGGGAGCTCTTTCTGTGTCTCTGTTTCTATTTAAAATTATGTATTCTTAGAGGTCAGGATCCTTTTTTTTTTTTAAATAAAGCTTTTTCTATATTTTATCAAAGTATTTTTCAAAGTTTATCCCAATTATGCTTTATTAAAAGCATGGAATATAAAAATAGCACTAAAGGGCAGGATGTTGCATGGGTCCACCTGTGAGATGCCTGGAGTGACACAAAGTAGATGAAAGGTGTCAGGGCGGGGGGAAGGGTCAGGACTTCTGGGGGGCTGTCGGGGAGGGTGAAGAAGGGGTTCTGGAAATAGATGCTGGTGACGGCGGGGCAGCCTATTGCATATGCTTAAGGTCACCGTGTTAGACACCTAAAAGTGGTTCAGCTGGTAGACTTCAAGCTGCGTGTATTTTAGCACATTGAGAAACAAACACCAAGAGGGCATAGTTGGGTCTTCTCTGGGGCATGCGCATTTGGAAGACAGCTGTGTTAACCTTGGGGGTTTTGGTTTGGGGCATTGAGTCCCTGGCTCCAGGCCAGCTGCCTCCTGGGCCCTCTCCAGAGAGGGAGCCCGCAGTGTCCACCACCAGGAGCAGTGTGAGCACCGGGCTTGGGCTCTGGGCTGTCCATCCTGACACCTGTCCCTGAGGGCAGGCGCCTGGGAGTAGCTGGCTCAGGGAGGAAGCCCACAGTGAGCCGCCAGGTGCTCCACAAGCGCATGCGCATGCATTTCCTCTTGCTGCAGGTGCCGCTGGCTCCCAGGGCGCGGAGTTCCTCTGAGACCTCCACCAGGTTGGACAAGGAGGCTGAGAAGGAGTCCTCCGACGAGGCAGATGGAAAATCTCCCCCAGATACAGCACGCAAAGGAAAGCCGGCCGATGGGAAAGAGAACAGCAAGGTGGAGGACTGGATCTGTCTCCGCCCCTTCCTTTGGGTCCTGAGTGCACTGAGGAGCACTGCGCGCATCCTGGGTGCTGGGAGGTGCTGGGTGCTGGGAGCCACGACAGGGCCACCAGGGAGCAGGAAACCGGCAGCAGTGTGCGTTCTTCCCCTTGCAGAGCTCCGGGTTCGGCTGGTTCAGCTGGTTTCGCTCGAAGCCCACCAAGAATGCATCCCCCTCCGGAGAGGAGGAGGACTCGGACAGCCCTGACTCAGAGGTGACCGCAGGGGGAGGAGAGGACACGCCCTCTCCTGTGCACCTGCCCAGGGCACTTGCTCAGCAACTGGGGCTTCCTGGCACTCGCTCTGACTCCACCACTGTGTGAATGAACCAGAACTTTAGTGTTGGGAGAAGATGGGGAATAGATTGGTCTTGAGAGGGCAGAGGTGGATTATAAAAAGCCTTAAAAATTCGGATGAAGGGTTTTCACTTCAGGGGGCCATCATTTGGGTTGCTGATCTGGGTTACTGAGCTGGGGACGTGGCACGTGGAGACCTGTGATTTGGGGAGTGGCCCAGGAGCCGGTTGCACCTGACTCCATCATTGCGGGGCTGGGGATCCACATACCACCACCGTCGGCAATGCTGCTCTCATTTCTCCCCATAGCAGGAGAACCCCAGAGCATCTTCTCCCTCCGAGGCTGGCCAGGACCTCTCACTGACACCCCCGCTGGGGTCTCCACTTGTGCCAGGTGGTGGCACATTCTCTAGGGACAAAGGTAGCAGCAGCCGCACATTCTGGGGTTGGTCTCTGAGGCTCTTGGTGCTCCCCGGGGGCGAGGGGTGGCTTCTGGCAGTAAGGGTCCCTTGGACCTGGGTAGAGGACACCTCTCTGGCTCCTGCTTTCCAGGAAGGACTGAAGTCCGAGGAGGCCTGCCTACCCCGGGGATGGCTAATGGCGCTGGGATCCGAGACCCGTCTGGGCCAGAGGTGAGTGATCTGTGAACTGGGGCCTGTGACCTCAAAGATGCCCACATGTGACATTGGCCTGAACGTCCAGTGTGGGCTGCAGGTGCTTCCTGGGAAGGGGCTGACTTGTGGGAAAAAGAGAAAGCATGTGTGTGATTGGCTCAGACTGAGAAGGCGTGAGTGTGATTGGTGCAGACTGAGAAGGCGTGTGTGTGTGTGATTGGTGCAGACTGAGAAGGCGTGTGTGTGATTGGTGCAGACTGAGAAGGCATGTGTGTGATTGGTGCAGACTGAGAAGGCGTGTGTGTGATTGGCACAGACTGAGAAGGCATGTGTGTGTGATTGGCACAGACTGAGAAAGTGTGTGTGTGATTGGTGCAGACTGAGAAGGTGTGTGTGTGATTGGTGCAGACTGAGAAGGCGTGTGTGTGATTGGCACAGACTGAGAAGGCATGTGTGTGTGATTGGCACAGACTGAGAAAGCGTGTGTGTGATTGGTGCAGACTGAGAAGGCATGTGTGTGTGATTGGTGCAGACTGAGAAGGCGTGTGTGTGTGATTGGCGCAGACTGTGTGATTGGTGCAGACTGAGAAGGCGTGTGTGTGATTGGTGCAGACTGAGAAGGCGTGTGTGTGATTGGCGCAGACTGAGAAGGCGTGTGTGTGATTGGTGCAGACTGAGAAGGCGTGTGTGTGATTGGCACAGACTGCCATCACAGGGTACTGCAGACAAAAGCGCTTAGCAGATATTTCTCCCAGCTGTGGGGGTCATAAGTGCAAAATCCTGGTATGAGAAGTCTTGCTTCTGAAGGCGCTTTCCTGCCTTGTGTCTACACACACCCTTCTCTCTTAGTGTGTGTCTTGTATTCACACAGCCTTGTGTAAGGACACGGGTCAGGTTGGATGGGGTGCCTGTAGGACGGCCGCTTTCCTTGTGACCATTCTTTAAAGATGCCGAATCCAAGTATAGTCACATTGTGAGCTGCTGAAAGTAAGGGCTTCAGTGTGTGGGTTTGGGGCAGGATGCAATTCAGCTGCCAACAGCTTCCTTGCCTGCCGCTGGCTCTTGCCCTGGTCCAAGAAAGCCCAGCCCAGCCCTGACCTCGGGTTATAACAGGTTCCTGATGACTTGTTCACGTCAGCATGGGGTTCACACCTCTTGCTAGGAAAGCGCGTTTAGCTCTTGAATCCCGATTAGAGTGCTGCTGGCGATGTGAGGTTCTGGACAAAGTGGGGTGGTGCTTACGAGAGCGCCAGTGTAATTTACAGTGGGTTTTCCTTACACCTAAGCCTCTGCGTTGTCTCCTGGACCAAGGGCTTGCTGTGCCCACTTGGGCGGTGTTTGCTTGCCTGAGTTCTTTCGAGAGAGCCTCCCCATGTGCTTCCCGTGTCTAAAGCTGATGCTCATGGTGTCCTCCATGTGGGACCTTGGCCAGCAATGGCATTTCCTGTTATTTTTTATCACAGGGCGTGTCCTCTGAGCTCTACTCTGGTCCTGGGGTCCTACTTCCTCCACCTTCCTTGGAAGGGGCTGTCCCTCTCTACAACCCATCCCAGGTTCCACAGGTAAGGAAGCCCTCCTGGGGTGGGGTTGGGGGCTCCCGGCTTCGGACTAAGGAGACCTGGGATTATAATTCCAGCCTACTGCTTATCATAGGAGCTTCCATCTTGAGCAGTTGTTTTAGCAACGTCTTAACGTCTGTGTTAGTAAATGGGGCTGGCAGTAGCTACCTGATAGATGGGTTCCTGAAAAGTCTGCCTCCAGACAGTGCTCAATAAATGTAGCTATCATTAATGTTGCTCTTAATCTTGGTGTGGGAGAGGCACAGTTGGCATTTGGGTCAGAGGCTCAGGTGTACCACCCTGTCTTGGGGTGAAGGGCTCCTGACCGACTTGGAGAGAGACCAAGCTCCCTGTTCCTCAGCACCCGGGGCAGACTTAGCTCTGCTCATGTGTTATATGGTCTCCCTTTTTTTTATGAAGTTCAATTTGTTTCACCACTCACGTATGTAAGAGGTGGAGGTATCAGGGAATGGTGCAGAATTGGAATGCGACCCTGGCAAGCCGGCTGGAGCAGAAGTGTTCTACACGCCCACACCAAGTCCACGAGGCAGGAAGGAACTCAGTCTAGGTTCTCATATGGGTGCCAGGGACCCGATCACCTAAGCTGTCACTTGTGTCTTCCCGTGTCCACTTGAAAGAAGATAGAAAGTCAAGTTAGGACTCAAACCTAGGCCTTGGGTATGGGAGCGTGGGTATTCCAAGTGGCATCCTCTTGGTGGTGCCAAACACCTGGCCCTCCTCTGGTATCACGTTTATTCTGTTTTTCAGCTGCCCATGGCTACCAGCCTCAATCGGCCAAACCGCCTGGCTCAGCGCCGTTACCCCACGCAACCCTGCTGACAGCGACCACCCGGGCAGGCTCAGCTCCCAGGGCTGTGACGTTTATACTGTTCTGCTTTTCTCAACTTCCTGGCCTGCTCCGGAGGTCTGTGAGGGTTTGCTGCCTCCACCAGACTCTTTGGAGGCCAGGGAACAGGGAGTCCCTAGACGTAGCTCAGGGCAGGCTCTTAAGATTGCTTCAGAATGGCAGAAATGATGCCATCGGAGGGCAGCGTGGGTGGGGGTGACGACAGCAAATTGGAAGGGAGTGGTGTGTGCTGGTGGCTGTTTGAGATGATGGTGGCCAGGGAGCCTGGGCAACACTGCGAGGGCCCTTAGAATCCACAAGCAGAGTCAGGGCTGAGCCCACTGAGCTGGGTGGCAGCAAGCTACTGGTGTGGCGGGGTGGCGGTGGCACAGAGCCATCTCCCTGACTCCCCTTCTCTCCCCAGTCCCCGTGGCCGTAGTTAGCAACGCCTTTTCCCCTGGGATGTCGTTGTCCTCACCCTTCCTCATTCCCTTCTCGGTGACAGTTCGGCAGTTCTTCTCCTGGTCCTAGTTTTACGTACATTCTCTCTGTGGTTCAGATTAATTGTATTTCTCTCACTTTCTTGGCTGGTCCTATTTTTTTTTTTTTCACATTCTGGCATCTGGCTATCAAGTTAGCTTGCTGAAGGCATCACATTGTCATGGTAACTACTGAACCTAATGATGCAGATGGATGGAACATCAGTGTAATAAATGATGGAAGACGTCTCCTCTGCCGAACAAGGGAAGGCCTGAGTGCCTGGTGCTGCTAATGCCTCCTGCTACCTCGGGCCTCTGCAAATCACCGCTCGGGGGTCGCTGGAGCCAGACACAGGCGGGGGCATCTTGGAAATTTCCATCTCTGCTTTCAAACCCAAAATAGGAATGACTCTTACTGTTTGTCAGATTTGCTGAAAATTGCTGCTCACAAAGAACATTGTGTGTGTGTGTGTGTGTATAATTGTACAGACAGGTTTTTACATTAATGCACTGTGGTTCTGATGTTGTCAGTGATTAAACCCTGATAATTTTTATAGTACATGTTTGTCTCTGGCTGATTTTTGTGGAGGGAGAAAGTGATTTCCCTGAGTTATTCCAGCAAATGGCTTCAGGGTGTGATCAGGTATGAAGTGAAAAACAAAAAAAACAACCCAGAATTCCTTTATTCAGGAAGAATTGGGGACGGATTTCCTTACTTCCAAGTTCACTCTCTTGTGATTGGTGTTTTTTTATTCTCAGCTTAAAAATATGGACAAAATTTCCTTGGACACAAATCAGACACTTTGTTCCGTGTTGCCTGATGTTCCCTGCTTTTGTTCCACTTCTTAGACTAAATGACCGAATCCACTCAGAGAGCTTTGCACGCTGCAGGCCTCAGTGCATACGATGCGCTCATTCCTGCTAAGAATGCTGCTGCTTGCCGTTGGCACGCTGATGCCCAGTCTCAGTGGTGCTGCAGGTTGGTGAGAGTTGCTGTCTGGAGCTGAGTCCTGTTCCAGCCACAGTTCACTTTGGAACCTGGGCAGTCCAGCTGCCCACGCTTCACTTTGCTCTCTGTGAAACTCAGGCTAACCATCAGTTAGCTACTTAATTTCAAGAGTTAAAGGGTCAGGCTTTCAGAAAAGTGCCTGGCACATGCTAAGTACTTTTAAAAAATTATTATTTTTATTGGAAAGGCCGATTTACAGAGAGAAGGAGAGACAGAAAAATCTTGCATCTACTGGTTCACTCCCCAAGTGGTCACAGCAGTTGGAGATGAGCCGATCTGAAGCCAGGAGTCAGGAACTTCTTCTGGGTCTCCCATGCAGGTGCAGGGTCCCAAGGCTTTGGGCTGTCCTCTACTACTTTCCCAGGCCACAAGCAGGGAGCTGGATGGGAAGCAGAGCAGTTGGGACATGAGCCGGCACCCATATGGGACTCTGGCACATTCAAGTTGAGAAGTTAGCCACTAGGCTATCATGCCAGGCCCCATGTTAAGTACTTAAAAGGAAAACATAAAAAATATGACTAGTGTAAAATAGAATGAGACTTTATTTAAAGATTTATTTGAAAATCGGAGTTAGGGAGACACAGAGGTCTTCCATCTGCTGGGTCACTCTCCAAATGACCACAATGGCTAGAGCTGGGTGAGATGGAAGACCAAAGCCAGGGACTTCTGCCGGCATGGGTGCAAGGCCCTGAGCACTGGGCCATCTCCCTCTGAGTTCCCAGGCACACCAAGAGGGAGCTGGGTCAAGAATGGAAACCTAACTGATGCCCTTACAGGATGCTGGCATTACAGGTGTAGCTTAACCCATTGCACAGGTCTCAGTAAGTAAAATCTTGACTTTCTAAAAAATCTCTGTCAGATTTAACTATCAATTGTTCTTAGATCATGCACATGTATTATGGAAACAATAGTTTAAAAATGCTCTCTACTATGTGTCCTTGTGCTCAGCCTGTTTTTCTCTGTCCCATCTGGTACCGGTGCTAGGCCACGAGGCTTAACTTCCCTGGGAACCATGATCCAGGGGACCACCTCCGCAAAGGGGAGAAGCACAGTGGAGGAGAGGAGTGGCAATGAGAGCAAGGCAAAGACCTGGGAAGCCTGTGTCCTCTTCCTTCTGTTGGAAACCTCCCAGGAAGTCCCGGGGCTGCCTCAGTGCTCACCAAAGCCAACGCTGAGCTTCGGCTCTTCAAAGGCAGAATGCTGCAGCACACTGTGTGAGGAGGACACGCAGGACTTTTTATGCACTTGGAAGGGAGGAGGCTCTTGGTGCACCTGTTAGCGCCTGATGCACATTTTCATTCAGGCACAGTCAGTGTCACCATGTGTTCAAACACACCTTGTTACTGCTCACGAAAGTTAGGTCCAATAGCAGTCTGATGAATGAGGGGGAATGCCCTGTTCTTAATCATTTATTGGCTTTAGCTGGTTGGTGCTTGGGGTAAGGCTTAAAGTCATGGTCATTTGATAGCTTCGGCTGGTTAAAACTAGTTGTAGGAAAACAACGCAAGTGCAGCTGTAAGAGAAACACATTTCCCCTCCTTTTGTGAAGCGGAAGCCTGGGGAACAGAGCAGGTTATAAAAGATGTGGATCAGAGTGGGAGAGGGTTAGGGCCCGTCATTGCTGTCTGCCTTTAGCCTTGGAGAGTTGGAAGGCTGTGAGGCTGCAGGGAAAGTGGTCAAACCTTGACAGTCTGTCCCGGGTGAGCTGGGAGCCGAGAAGCAGGATCCTGGTGGCGACCACATCCGTGATCTGCGGCAGAGCACCTGCTCCCCGCAACCTACTAGGGTGTCAGCTCCACAAGGGAGCACCTGTGTCCCAGAGGCAGACAGGGGCCGCCTGTATGTGCTGCAGAAGATCCAGGTCAGGCTGGGACCAAGCCACCTGGCAGCAAGGACAAGGCCACCGTGTCGGTCACCTACCCTTTCCCCATCACTTTGAGCTATTGGGGATGCCACCAGAACAGTTCGTCTCAACTGGGTACAAGCATGGAGGAAGCATGGCTCAGTGACAGGAAATAAAGAAACCCACTTTTCCTTGAAAAGCTGAGTATCAGTGTACAAATTTGCAATTCTGCTATCCTCATAAAATTTAATATTTATACGAAAACATTTAAACTTAATGTTCAATAATTTGAAAGAGAACAAACCGTTAAATTCCGTTTAAGTGTCTTTATCACATATCACCATTCCAGCCCTGTCTAATCCCCTTATATGGCTATAAAACTGTGAATCCCTCACCTCCACGCACTCCACTCTCAGCCCCTCTCTGACTTCAGGTTGCCTGGCATCAAAGCTCTCCCCCCCCCCGAGAAAGCTGCTTTCTTTTCGGTCTGTTCCTCTGAGCAACCGAGGAGCAAGAGGCGGCACTCACCTCTCCACTAGAATCAGAATATTTTCACCCAAGAGGGAATATGCAAAGTACCCTCTCGCTTGGAAAGAATAATAGGTGTGTAATTTGGGCCTCTCCACTCACATGAGTTTCCCTGACACCTTTTCCCCCTCGAGAGTGGAATGAAAGTGACTTTTTCTCCTTCCATTTTCCATATTAAGCTGAAAATTGCATGTGTGGTAACGTGATCTGGAAGCAATGGAGTGTTGGGTACTTAGCTGAGGCTGCCCCGAAACATGGCCTTGACTGCCTGTGCTCTTCAAGTCCTTAGGCCAGCCCATCATTCCTTCAAGTCCTTCAGAAATGGCTTTTTAATGAGACTCCAGTTATTTTGAATGGGGATTAGCGCCACATTACAATGTTTCAATTACCGTCTTAGTAAGGGGAGAGTGTACTTCCCACACCGTCTTCCTCTTGTATGCTCCTGGCTCCAGCTTTAGCACTTGTCAGGAATAATGTCCACCACCGATGAACTTATTTTACACCAAGTGCAGACTGCTTGTTTTCCTGGTCCCTACTCATCTTAGAGAAAGCCCGTTCATGGACTCATTTTTTAAGAATCTCAAGGGAGCGTGAGGGTTCCCATGGCTTCCCTCGACAGTTCCATAGCCTCAAACATGACGGAGTTGTTCCTAACACTTTATTCCCTAATCACCTGGTCGTTGTTGCCAAGGAAAGAGCAGCTTACCACACCTTAGGGCCTGAGACTCCTTCCTTTTGTGGCAGGCCGTGATCTCACATCTCAGCTGTGAAGCAGGATCTCAGGAAGTGAGCTTTTCCCCACAAGATCTGGATACTGCATCTGGCATGATCATTCATATGGCTGATATGGCTCATATGGGATCTTCATCTTGCATGCACCATATGGGTACTGGTGTGTGTTCTGGCTGCTCCACTTCCCAACCAGCTCCCTGCTTGTAGCCTGGGAAAGCAGTGTAGGATGGGCCAAAGCCTTGGAACTCTGAAACCATGTGAAATACTGGAAGAAGCTTCTGGCTCCTGGATTCAGATTGGCTCAGCTCTGGCCATAGCAGCCACTTGGGGGGTGAACCAGTGGGTGCAAGATCTTTCTCTCTGTCTCTCCTTCTCTCTGCAAATCTTTCTAATAAAAATACA